TTCTTCATACCTTCGATTAAAAGTAGAGACTTGCGTCAATGCATGCATATAATTCAAATTTGTCCCAGATTACAACAAAACGCAACAAAATGGATTAATTCGGTGAAAATATAAGCTATTCTATAAAATTTACTTTAACTATGGACAAAAATAATAAATAAGCTGACACTCACAAAATTCTCTCGTTAAGTCAAATCCTTTTTACTTTCCTTTAGCAAAAATCGATGCTTTGAGTTTACATCAAATGCAGAACGATAGAATAGTTCGGTGACTAAATCCCACCTGCGAAGAAAAGTTGGGTTTTAAGGAATCTCTTGTTTCAAAATCGTCATAATCGTCATAATCGTCAGCATAAATCCCACCTCTTCATCATAGGTATAAGCAGGTAGACTACGTCAACCTGAACGTCGTATAAAAGCCAAACGGCTACAGTACAATGGGATTCGTTCGTCCTCTTCTAGTGAGATCGACCTACGAATCTCTTCTTTATGCACTTTCATACGAAATTAAAGTCCTCCCAATAATATATATTAATAATAGTAGGGTTAACAGGAGCTCTAGTTAATTTCTATCATCTTTTGAAGCAGAGATAAAAGAAAAATATAAAAATTTCAAACATGATAAAATGTGTACGCACTCGTCGGAATGTTGATCGATCATCGGTCTCAAAAGCCGCTTCTTCTTCAGTAGATGACGAGAAACCGGCATGAATATCAGCTGAGAAACGCCGGTCTCTATCAATAGACTCGGGTATTGCCTGAGGATCAGAAATTATGATATTAAAATCGCAGCTCTGCTCACAAATGCCCGAAGTTTCAGAGCCTGGAAGAGAGAATGGCGTTTGAGAGTGAAGCATTCGTATCGGGACTTCGGAAGACAGGGTACATGATGAAACCAAGTGGCCTGGTGAGTCAGCGATCTCTTGTAGTTGTTCAACTTCCCCTTCTGCCTCTTGTATTACAGGGGTTACTTCTATCGTCTCTGCCTCAACAGTGATAACTTCTCGAACGTCGCTGATCTCCTGCTCACCTGAGCTAAGGACTCCAAGATCGCTGACTTGTGGTGTCGAGATTGGAATATTTCTGTCGGAACGGGACGATTGTGTAGTTGGCCATCGTCTGGACATACTGCTCTGCAAGGGTGATCCTGAAGGCGGGACAGATGACCAAGAAGAAGAGGATTGTGAGGCAGACGAATGTGAATGGGACAGCGAAGGGAAAAGTGGAAGAGTGGCCGTTGATAGAACCGGACAACTTATACGCGTTGCTGCGACGGTCGGACCGCCAGAATCAACTATTCTAGAACAAGAGGGAGATATTAAATTTGGTGAAATGGATCGAAGGGACAGTGTATACCCAGGCTGAGTACGATGTACTGATTCTGGGCAGACAGATTCAAGGCTAGTATCTTCTAAATGCCGCTGTTGATGGTAGGAATGGCTACGTGAGCCACATAGCCGCGGGTGAAGTGGTCTAGACTGAGCAGAACAAGGATGACCAAGTAGTTGTGACTGCAAAGTTTTGCCCGCGGGACGACGTGAGGAATGTAGGTGTTGGGGATGCAGATGGTGATGGCGATGATGGTGATGATGCATAGGATGGTAGGCAGGATTGATTTCAGCCTTAGGATATGATGCTTCTTCTGAGAGTAGAGAAAAGTCAAAGTGACTTATCGAAAAGGCTCGATATAATTCAAACCTTTTTGGAATGGAGAAATATGTATTCTAGATCACACACAACGAATTAGTAAAGATTCTGGCAAGATAGTCCAAATGCATTTAGCGTAAATATAACTCACCGAGGAAAGACTGGTCAAGACTGATAAGGGTGTGTGCCGCTGTCAGGGCTGCTGCTTTAACATGGCTGTTCGATGAATGCTAAATGCAAAAAAAGATGCATTTGATTAATTTAAAAATTAGGTAAGCAAATTTTAATCGTCCGAAATACCTGCAAAGAAGTTACAGGCAATTCAAAACAACATCGCTTAATATGTATTTAAGCGTTTAAGCTTCTTTAGCGTATGGAAAAATCTAGAGTTATTTATCTTGAAGATAAATTTAAAAGATTTCTTAATTTTTTTTATTTTCTTGCATTTATATCAATGCAAATTCTATCAAGTTCGACCTAGTTTAAAAAGCTCTGTGTAATAGTAACTATTTAGAACGCCATATGTTGATATTATCCGTGTTAAATTGGTGAAAAAAATCCTTTCGACTAGCGGTTAGTTTCACATGTAAATAAACGAAGCAACTCCCACCCCCATTTCCAGCACTCGACATTTTGCAATAACTCTTAATGCTGCTTCCTTTTTGCATAATTAGATTGTCTTAATCCTAGTAGAACATACTATTAGTAGCGCTCTTGGTTAAAGGTAATTTTCTAAAGGCTACACCAACTGAGATCACTACAATAATTAATACACAATTATGGCAAAAAATAGCCAAAGCTGGTTTGCCAACTACCGACGAGGTCTCGCCGCCATCGTCGCGAAAATTAAAGTAATTAGACAATCGCCTGAGAGGCTCAACAATGGAGGTAAATCCTAGTCAAACGAATGAAATAAAACATCCAAACAAAGCACTTCACTAAGGCTACTGTGGAAAAATTCAACGATTATGTCTTGAATCACCAAGATGAATAAATTCTTATTAAATTTAGTCGCTATAGCAATCCCTAAGTATAAATAAAAGCCAAGATT